TCTATGTGGCTGTTTTTAAAACCTGCTTTATCTATTTTTTTAATAGTATAATGTTTGTTTCTCATGTTTTTTATATTTCTTCTTTTATGTCCCTACCTAGTAATCTCTCAAATTTTTTATTTTATCTCCAGAAGCTCTATGTGGCTGTTTTTAAAACCTGCTTTGTCTATTTTTTTAATAGTATAATGTTTGTTTCTCATGTTTTTTATATTTCTTCTTTTATGTCCCTACCTAGTGTTTCTACTATCTGAGGTTCTAGAATGTCTAATCCTACTGCTCCTTAGCTGACTCTCAGTGTTAGGGGCTACACTACATTGTTTTTTATATTTCTTCCTGGTGACGTATTTTCAGTAGGGGTTACACAGCCAGGGTGGACAATGCATCCTTCCAAAGATGTTTTTCCACTGCTTTCCTGGGGTCATTTGTGTGTCATTTCTCGGCTTGGAAGCTCCTGTACAATGCAGGAAATGTAAATTTGCAAGCTAAACCTTGTAGAGGGAAGGCCCATGTCTTTGAATAATCAGGGGAGTCTTTTGGGTTTTTTTTAAAATTATTTTTATTAATATTATTTTTAGTTCACAGATAATAATGGGAGTATTATTTTTAATGCAGAAAAAAGCTAAAATAAAGAAGCCAACTTGTCATCCCTTGTGTTATCAGCTGTTTTTCCCCCCTAGGTCAAACCTTTCACTGTGTTTACAACCTAGGAAGGATCAGCTTTCTGGAAGTTTTTGGTTCCAACTTCTCTCCTTGCGTGGATTCAAGCCCTAGTTTTTATATCTCTGAGGCTCTTAAAATGCAAGTGCCTTGGCAACAAACACAAAGAAAACTAGCGGTTTCGATCAATGGAAATTGTCTTTACTTTTGCGTGCTTAGCAATATACTGAAAAGAATGTTCACTATATATTAGCTATTCCTAGGTGTGGCAGGAAGGTTTCAGATTCTCTAATTTACTATTATGCTGGAATAATATTTAAATATTTTAAAAAATGAACTCATTTTCTTCACTTATGTAATTAAAAATTAACCAAAACAGTAAATGCATATAAGAGAAACAGAACTTCTTTGTATGTGCTTTATTGAAGATGTGGCTTTTGACTCAATTCTCAAAGATAGGAAGGATTTGAACTCCAGCAGGAGGGAAGGAAGAAATGAGTCCCACTTACATTAAGGGAGCCCTGTGCCTGCTGCATAGCACTCAGATCTAACTTTTTGGTTAAATTCTTTATTAATAACAACTATGCAATCATTAAATCATATGTCTTCCCATGATAAGGAGATGGAGACATTTCCAGAGCTATCCATTTTTATGTATAGACGGTGGGGGTAATTTCCAACCGGGGATAATTTTTACCCCAGGGGACATCTGGTAATACCTGAAGACTTTTTGGTCATCACAACTTAGCAGGTGCTACTCACATCTAGTGGGTGAAGGCCAGGGGTGCTGCTAAACATAGTGACTTAAAGAGTCCCCCACAACAAAGAATTATCCAGCCCAAAATGTCATTATTTGCACGAATGAGTAAACCTGACAGAGAACTGCCACTTGTGTTACTACAGAGGATCCCTCTTCCACCTTCTCTTTCTCTCATTCTCTGTGAATATTCGGACTCACATCTTTTAATCTGGATTTACAGAGAAAAACAGTCCTTACACCAGATTTGATGACTGCCTCTGAGAAATATAAACATTTTCTCCTCAATGCAGTCATTTAGGATTGTCTCCGCAACAATGTGTCTAAGAAGCAGTGCAAGGCTCTTGCTTCCTTTCTTCTCCATCTCCTCAATCACCTGACCCTGGAATCTGAGTGGTCCTAACCCAGACCTCTTGCCTGCCTGGCTCTAGGCAACTCGACAGTCTTCCCAAACCTTCCACTGTGACTTGTTCTGCACATCTTTACCTCCCGTGTCTGCTTAAGCTACCTTCGTGCCTCATGCGGACCTTGCCAGGCCAGCTTCTCACATCTTAACACGGTAAATAAAATGTGCCACTGGATCAACATGGAAGAGCCAATGCCAGCATCAGGCTAGTCAAAAAAACTGCCAGCTGCTTTGACTTAACCTCTTTGGTTAAACTACAACACGCTGGATTGAGACACTTAGCACTATAATATGCAGAGGGGGAAGAAAACTAAAAGTAACAGTACAAAAACACTCTAACTATGGTAATGCAAGCAATGAATTCCAAATATTGACACCGGGAAATTTATTGCAGTGATGTAAATATAGTTCATTATCAAAAGATCAATTTTAAAAACCCAGTGATATCAGAAACAGAGAGAAAAAAAACCTTTAGTCTTAGTCAAATCAGTTACACTTTCACAAATTCATTATTATTCAGCAAATGCAATTTCTAAGACTAACCTATTCAGAAATAAGGCAATTAAAATAGTTCTTTTTCATAGTTTTTGAATACATCATTTCAAAACTGTCTGTCTTCTTGAAATAGGTGTAATTGTTTTAATAATTCTGTTAAAAGAAGTGAGTAATTAGGCATTAAGAAAAGCTGTATAGCACAATGGTTTATAGACAGACCCTGGAGCCAGACTGCCTGGCTTCAAAACTACTCTGACTTAAGACCTCTGCTGACCTTGGTCAATTCACTTCATCTCTGTATCTCTCTTTCCTCATGAGTAAATTGCAAATAATAGAGTTGTTATGAGGATTAGTGATGTTTACATATGTGTACATAGTACACAGTCAACACCAATAGTTTGTTAAGCAAATAATTAGCAACATTTTAAAGATATAAAATAAGTAAACAACCAGGAGGCTTTCATGAGTCATGAGGCTTTCAAAGGCCATGTTGTTCCTTCACTCAGGTACAGGACCTGGTGTTTCTCAGTCTCAAAAACCGTTGGGTAAGTAAGTGTGTTAAGAGCTGGGCCAATGCTGTCATTCTGGTCTAAAATGTACAATTAACGCACTGTATCCAGATCTCTCTACAAGAAACATTTTATCCTAATGGAGAGATCAAATTCTACAATAGCCAGAGGGAAAGAGAAAATAGTAAGTAACAATATAAAAATAGCAATATGTATTGTTTATAGGTAAACATGAATAATCATAAAACCAATATCAACACATTTGAAACAATGATATGACAATATGAAAACACTCCATTCATAAAGTACATAAAAATCCTGATGACAGCAGTAAGAAGAAAGCCTGTGGCTCCTAATAACTGTAAATACATCTTCAAATTTAAATTCTACATTTCAGTAAAGGTAGTTCCTAAGACCAAACTTTCTGATGGGATGGCAACTAGAGCAACAACTTACATGAAAATGCAACCATCTGGTTCACAGCTCAGAGATCCAATACTTCAAAATTAATATCAGATCTTTTCTGTCATCAAAATAAAAACAAATCTAGACTTCAAGACTTCATTTTAAAAAGACTATTACAATAGGAGAAAAGCTCCAAACGTAAGATCTGCAGCATCTCAAAATCAGACAGAAAAATGCTTTTCTTTTCTAGGGATGGATAAGTCGGCTAGCCGGAACTTTTGTGGAAAATTGGGCAAATGAGTTGTGAGTACGCGGATAGCATGAATCAGGCTGTGGTCAGCTTGTTCTTGGGATGTTCTGTGTTTCAATACTTATGCAGGCTTTGGGTCTGTGAGGAAGAGAAAACCAGACCAAAGTGTGATCAAGCCAAGGCAAGAAATGGACAACTGTGAAGTAGGCCTCTTTATAATAGTAGACATACTGGTTTTAATAGCACTATTTGAATAAAAGAGTAGTGAGGAGTTAAACCCTTCAAACAGGTTAAGAAAGTAAACACCCAGTCTGGCGTCAACTAAAAAGTCCATTTCTTGCTCTCGCCCCGAGCACTGAACCTCTGTTTCCAGGTCCAGTAGTACTGAGTAAGTAAGAAGGGCCTTGCTGCCAACGTTGCCAGCAAGTTAAAGAATCTGCAAGCTTAGGTTTCCCATGAGTTTCTCTTAAACATTTCATCCTAACAGAAGCAACCAACAACTAGAATATGCAAAAAGTAAAGAACAAGTAACAATACAGAAGTTTGGAACTGGTTTCTACAAGCTAAGAATAAACTTCAAGTATTGGACTGGGGACATCTGGAAACAAACAAGAGCTAAACGAAAGCCACAAAAAATATTCCACCATGCAAACATTCCATTGGTATCAGACTGGGAAACACACATGCACACACACACACGCCTTCTGTTCATATTAAAGAGAAACAGAGAAACAGTTGGTAAGACTAGAGGACAATTAAAACTGGACATATATTTGGAAAAAAACTAGTTATTGATTTAATTAGCATTTAGATTTTCATTATACAATTTCATTTTACTATTATTACTAAAACAAATGAACTACTCTCACAAATTTAAGAAACTCTAAGATTACTTATTGTTTGTTTGTTTGTTTGTTTGGGTAGCTGGCCGGGGCGGGGATCTGAACCCTTGTTACAACACCACACTCTAACCAACTGAACTAACTGGGCAGCCTATCTAAGAATACTTTTGAAACACTGGAATCCAAAACTGTAAAAGAAAAAGCAGAGATGAATTTAATTTTGGAATTCTTTACTTGTATTTCAATAGCACTGTCATTGACTCAACTGGCATCATCTTTCACTCCTCTGACTAAAGGGTTTCCAGCAGATACATAAATTTTCCTCTTGACGTAAAGTGATTTTAATGGATGTACCAGCAGGAATCGTTGAAAACATAAGAGTACCTACAAACCAAAATTAATACTCTCCCTTCTCAGATGTCCCTCTTCCAGGAAAGCTTTCTGAGCCCCAGCATGTCTGGAAGAGCTTCCTCCTCCCTGTACCCAAAGCACCTCGTCCTTACCGCATTAGACTCCCGTCACACTATATTACAATTGTATAAGGTACTGGTGTGTTTCTCCTCCCAGACTATGAACAGGGGATTGATTGGCAGTTCATAAGGCAAAAAGCAGCATTTTAGTTAAAAATTGAAAAAACCCATACATGGGCATTGTATTATTTGAAACATGATACATTTACCAGTCAGTGATATGTTGTGACTCTCCAAGAGAAGGTTACTGACAAAAATAATGTACCTAGCAAAACCTAAATCCCCAACAGGCTGTGTTCCAAAGGTTTAGTCACCTCTAATGCAACTTTGGGAGTTGGAATGCACTTTCTCATAAAATCCTTTACTAATATACTTAAATCATACTACCCTCCGATGGATTATACAGGAGAAAATGTCCTGAGTTTCTCAGTGGGCTATCGGGAGTACAAAACCTTTCTGCCAGACACACCCAATATTCATTCATTCATGAATACACACACATACACACATACATACTGCTAAAAAGGTTCCCATCAACATTCTTTTCCTAATAAAAATTCTTTTTTTTTTCCCCCATTCTTGGGAGTAGCTCACTTAGAGGTTGTATCAGAGAGAAAACATTTCAGGAAGATCAAGGCAGATGCTATTCACTTATGGACAGGAAGCCAGGAGGGGGCGGATGAAAAGGAAAGAGCTGTTCTTCTGTGTCATGTTTTCTGTGAAGCTTCCAAAACACAAGCTTTGATATCTTTGCTTCCTTGCTAGGGAGTTCTCCTTTCCTGGCATAGCTAACTACAGAACAGAATGTAATCTTGAGGGTTCTCACCACACTCTTTATCCCTGAACAAGCCCATAACCCTTTCGAGATTGTCCAGCATCATTTATTACTATTTATTATTCACATCATCAGTAACAATAAGAGAGTGACATAAGCTTAAAAAAATCCTTTCTATCATTCTTACTCCTATTTCATTTAAATAAGTGAAGGTATAGAATACCTAATACATGCTTGATACTGATGAGGAGTATGAAGCTAAATAAACTTGGTCTTTATAGGGTTACATGGATCATAACAGTAGCAGTTTAGGCCCACAATTTGTGATTGAGTCACAGAAATTTCAGAGTGGCACTCATTCAGAGTACTGACAATAACTACTAGCCTGTATATTCTATGTGAGTTGGCGCATGAGCTTCGGAGTGTGAAGCCTGCCTCTGGGCTGGAATGAGGGTGAAGATAATGCTGAAGAGATACAGTGAGGCTGGGGCTATTTCCCCATTACTCACCATTAGGACCTGTTAGGGAAGGGCCCACGTGGCATTTGCATTAGAACTAGGACAGAAAAGGGGTCTAAGGGTGGCTTGAGCAAAATTTAAGCCATGGCAGCTGAAGTAATAGGAAAGGAAGAAAAAAAACCAATCTTTAAATTTAAGCCATGGCAGCTGAAGTAATAGGAAAGGAAGAAAAAAAACCAATCTTTGGGGGTAAGAAAGTCTGGGTGGTTCCAGAATATCCTAGCTGTTGTGGTCATTTCCACTTTCCAGTTCACATACTAAAAATACAATCAGACATGCATAAATCAGATACTACCTATACCCTAACTTCATATTCCCTTTAAAACATTTGTGAGGAAAATAGGATAATTTAGTCAGGCTCCCTCCACTCAGGTCGAGTTGTGGGTGGTGAAGCACATTTCCTGTAAACAAGTTGTGTGTGGGTGGAGTTAGTGTGCATGTGCACCCACGGTATCTTTTTAATTTGTTGCTATTGTGTGTTCTTCAATTTGTGAAGCAGTGCTGGCCAGCAAAGCTCATGTCTCAAAATAGAGCATGTTTACTCTGCTGGCAGCTGCTCAGTTTTCCTTTGGACTTTGCCCCTAGCAGTTGAGTTTCTGAATTTCTATTTGGACTGCTTAGCTCTTAGACGTGTGTGCTGAATAGAGTATTCTTTCTTCAACCAAGGCTCCAAAGACCTTTTTGCCAGTTATCTAGTTCATAGACCTGTGTGTGAAGGGTTTATGAATGGGCTTGAGGGGTCTGTGAGCTCCAGACCCAGCCCTAGCTCTACAAACTTTAATCTTGATCAGGCTCCAGTTTCTACCAAACGGGCACCAACTGTAAAAGAACACGTGTAACTGTTGTGAATTTTGCCTTGGCAAAAATTCCTTGAAGAGGTGATATACACAAATCCCTTGAGTGCAAAAGCAGGGCAGTCTACAGAAGTTGTTGGAATAGTAAAAGTGAGTTCTTTGTTTAGACAAGATATTTTTAATCAAAAGTGAGAATGTAAACCTTATTGCTTTCAGTAGGAGGACAGCCGGCAGGAGGCTGATTCAGCTAACGTTGGTGTTTGAAGCAAACTGGCAGGAGATTCAGGCAGATGTGGTTTGAATACTTTTTGAAAGGATGAGGCTGAGTCACACACAAAAAAGTATAAAATAGAGAGGCAGGAATTTTGGATCCTAATACAAATTCTGCCACTAATACTCAGGGTTTCAAAATGCGATACAGCCAGCTTGATGCTTTGTCTCCACTGTAAACCTCATTTCATACCAAAAAAAGGGAGGATC